AATTATGGAGAAAAATTGAACCACTTTAAGGCATGGTCTAAAGCCTACTGGAATTATATTGTAGGAACATTTCCATTGAATCAGAACCTTTTGTTTGGAAATTTTGAATCTTTTAATTGTACTAAGCTGTGTTCTCACAGCTAAGAAAGTCTCGGTATTTTTTGTTGCTAGATTTAGTAAAATCTTTCTTAATTATTAGTTTTCAATGGGCATCTGTTTAAATGATGCCAAGTGATCCCTTAGCAATGGGTAGTACTGTTTCTGTTCTTTCAGTTGAGCTGCTTCGGATGATTTATTTCAGTATACTTGGATTTTGTCACGCATGGAGAACTGTGCATCGTTCACGGTGGCTGCTGTAGTGAATGCTGAGCAAACAATGTCTTCTTTTTAAGCAAGCAAAATAATCAGATACCACACACACAAAAATATTAGTCTTTTAGCAAAATCAAATACTTGGCATACATTTAATATGTTCTGTCTTCAAATGTAAGAAGTCTAAATGACCAGGAAAAATACAGCTCTTATAATGCATGTAGGGTAAAATTCTCTGGATTTTGGGTAGGATAGCATTTTGTGTGCTGGTACGTGGTACAGTCCCCTTTCTTCTGCCGTCCTCTGCATACCCACCCGGAGGTTATTCTGTTTATCTGTTACTGCCTGTTTATCCTGAGGGACTCTTACTTTAGGCATTGTTTCTTGAATCTCAAACTGTCACTTCTGAACCATAAAACGAATTTACTGGAGCTACAGGAGTAACATTTTTTCTTAATAGGTCATGTAATAGGGCTTTAGATTTTGTGGTAGGTATTAGGCTTGGCCTGGAAAGATGACTGTTTACTTTCTGGCAGTCTTAATTCATGTCTGAGCAGCAGAGGTATAAGTTAGAACAGTTCTGGCAATATGTTTTTTTCAAAATTTTTGTTGCTATTGCAGGGGCTGGGTGGAATTTTTTCTTAATCATCTTTTGATCTTCATTCTGCTCTGTAGGACAGGGAGGCGGAGTTCAACGTGCAGAATAAAGAGCTAATTGCCCCAAAAGAGTTTTGACTCAATTAGCTTATGGATGAATGGGGAAGGTTGATAACTTGGCAGCTCTGCTTTGCTTACCTGAGGCAGCCTGAGACTTGCTGGAAGTGTAAATGGAAGGGCATTTTGCTGAGCGGGAGATGAGAGGCCAGTGCCAGGCTGGGCTGGGCAAGGGCTGAGGGAGGAGGTTGCTGGTTCTGGTGAGGGGATGGTCATCACCCCACCTTTGTGCTGGTGGTCACAGTGCTCTGACAGGAAACCAGGAAGCTCGTTTGCTCAGAACGTGGCTTAGCAGCATTTCCAAAGGTACCCAGGTTCTGGGTTTGCCTAGTGTTCTCTGGAAGCTTGTCCCACAGGTCCATCCCCTTGAATCCACTATGCTTCAATTGCCCGCTTCTCCCTGCTCCACCCCAGTGACCGGCATTGTCCTAGAAGCCCAGCTCTTTCATTGATTGACACGTGGTCTGTAATATAATTAGGATGCAATCCATCGATCAGTTTGGAAATGAGAATCAAAGCTGTGAGCTGGTGATGGCAGCTGGCTTGCAGGGGACCGTAGCAGAGGTTGTATAACAAGATCCTGGGAGAGGAGCGATGACGCAGAGCTCTGTGTTTGGGGCAGAGGCAGCCCGTGCTATCTATAGGTTCAAACTAATTATGCAATCCATCGATCAGTTTGGAAATGAGAATCAAAGCTGTGAGCTGGTGATGGCAGCTGGCTTGCAGGGGACCGTAGCAGAGGTTGTATAACAAGATCCTGGGAGAGGAGCGATGACGCAGAGCTCTGTGTTTGGGGCAGAGGCAGCCCGTGCTATGTATAGGTTCAAACTAATTATGCCAGAACAAAACTGTATGTGCTTTTTTTTTTCCTACACTCTAATTACCAGCCTTCATTTTCATCTCCTACCGGTACCCAAAAATTTCTTGTGTTTATCTGAAGGATTTAGAATATCATTCAGTAATTACAGATAGCTCCTTATTGGGAAGCAGGTTACACCATCCAAACTTTTGCCTTTCACTTCCATGTCAAAGGGAAAAAAAAGTTTTTATGGTGTGCCATTAGAAACTGCCCATTTGCTGAGTTAGGGTAACTCCTACGCAGAGCCAACTTGCTGATGCTTGCTCTTGCATACTTTAAATTGCTGATTGTGGCAGTAAAACACAATTTTTATGCCTTGGAGTGTAATTGTTTTTCACAAAATTATCTGTGGCAATGCTACTTTGTGTTATGACCTTGTCTGTGCTTGCAAGTCGAGCAGCCTCGAGCTTAGCTATTATGTGCAAAGTCCACCTCTGGATTTCCATGTAGGAGTCAGGTCTGAGTCAGGACTTGGAGCAATTCAAGAAGACAGCGGAGTTGCTGCTGTCCCTGATGTAGGACACTTCTCCTCTGCCCTTCTACCTTTGCATTCAGAAACTTTGCTTTCCTCATCCACGTCTAAATAATATAACTGACATCACTTTTATTACTACTTGCTATAGTATATATTTGTATCCAGAGTTGGTGTAAAGGACAAAGGTAGAGGTTCTTTAATAGTCTTGTGGGTCAGAGTTAAGAACCTACTGCTCCTGAATATTTTCAGCTTGCTTCTGCTAAGGGTTTCACTGTCCAGTCTGTGATTTTACACCATGAAGTGTTCAGCAGCAGTGCCACTTGTCTGTCTCCCCCTAACAGGTTCCTTTCCTTTCCCTTGATTCAAAGCTGTGTTCTGCACCCTGCACTGGGACATGATCTCCAGGGCATAGCTGTTTGTGGAGCGTCACAAGCTAACCCTTGCCAACGGTATCCAAATTCAATTCCCACATGGATATAATGTATATCTTGGCTACTTTGCCTAAGCAGACACAAACTATTTGCTTTTGATGTGGCTGTATTTTCCAGAGTGGCAATGCCAGGTATTAATTTCACGGAAGTTGCAGCCAAACAAGGAGGTATGGTTTAGCTATGTTTGGTGAATCCCAACGCTATGTAACCAGATAGTGGGCAGATTGGGCCTTGTGTTAAGATGTCTTTTAGTTTATGTGCAGGAAGCTTTAAAGCTTTATAAACATGTGTTTGAATATATATTTATTTTGCAAATACTGTGGATTACTGCTTATAATGTGCAATATTATATATATGAGCACTCTCCACCCTCTAAAATACTCGATGGGATGGAGTGACTTCCTTTGCTTGGAGGAGTCTCACGCTGGCTTGTACTTTTTTTAAGTATCATGACCAGAGTTAGTGAGTTTTGGCTGTTTGTAGCACTTCACGCTGAAAGGTCAGCTCTTCCTTCCTCCTTGGAGCGTATACAACTTAGCTCTTTCTTTTCTTTCTCTGTTTTTTTTTTTTTTTTTTTTTTTTTCTTAGTTAAAACAAATCTCTCGTTTTTTTTTTTTTTTTCTTTTTTTTCTTAGTTAAAACAAATCTCTTACTTTGTTTTCACATGCAACAAGGTACTTCTCAAATGTAAGAAAAATCTGATATTCAGCACTTTCTGTATGAGTTAACTGAAAGCCTAATAAAACATTCAGGGCTTTACAATAACCTGTAGCTGATTAGAGATATCTTTCTACTGTCTTCCAGGAATGGATAGTTGACGGGTTGAGAGAGTTGGGGTTGTTCAGTCTGGAGAAGAGAAGGCTCCAGGGAGACCTTAGAGGCCCTTCCAGTCCCTGAAGGGGGCTACAGGAGAGATGGGGAGGGACTTTATCAGGGAGTGGAGAGAGAGGATGAGGGGTAACAGTTTTAAACTGAAAAGAGGGAAGATTTAGATTAGATATTAGGAAGAGATTCTTTCCCGTGAGGGTGGTGAGAGCCTGGCCCAGGTTGCCCAGAGAAGCTGTGGCTGCCCCATCCCTGGAGGGGTTCAAGGCCAGGTTGGAGGGGGCTTGGAGCAACCTGGTCTGGTGGGAGGTGTCCCTGCCCAGGGCAGGGGGTTGGAACTTGATGATCTTTAAGGTCCCTTCCAACTCTAACCATTCTGTGATTCTATGTCTGTTAATGCACATTGTATGTAATGAATAGAATATACATACATTGACCTTTGCAAAGTGATGGACCTCTTCTTTCTGTTATTTTCTGTATGTCTGGAGGTACTTAGCACCCTGGCTCATTCCTCCTCTCTTTCCATTTGTTTCCTGCAGGAATTTTTTGAGCTGCTGGTAATATTGACTGAATGGTCACCATTCCCATCTGCTTGTTCTCACTCTATGGTTTGTGCCTGTACAATTGTTTTTTGGCACATGTTGAGCTGGAGAAGGGAGCAGATACATCTGAAATTGTGGTGTGGGTTGGTTGTGTTTTTTTTTGAGTCAAGATTTTGTGCTGTTGATCTCTTCTCTTTCTTATTGTGCAGCCATGGTCAGCTGCACAGAGCTGAAGACAATTTTCTGTAGTTGGTATTGGAAAGAAAGGTAAATTGAGTATTGCATGGAATCTCCATGCGGGTCTGGTAGATGTATGTTGCCGTCTCTCAGGGAAAGTGAGAACATTTTACAGCAAGGTAAGAGGCTTTTCCTGAGGCAGGACAAATGCTAGAATGCTTCTCCCTATACTTTGATACAGGGTGTGCTGGATCTGAGGTGCCTTCATGCATGTGAAGGGACAGAGCTTTGGGGAGGATAGTCATGAGAAATTATTTGGAGTCGTTCCACATGAAAGAACCTCTGAAGTGGATTACAGTGAAGTACAAAGGTTGTTTTTATAGTGTTTTTTTCAGCTGCCAATGACAAATTATATTATGAAAGCTCCTAAGTGATGTGAGTTCCTAAATCTGATTTCTCAAAAGTGACTTGGCATCTTTAATTACATGGGCATTCTTGGTGATTGCACCTACTGTATAACGAAGATAAGTCTCAGTGTGGTACATGCTGGTATCCAGAGGACCTCTTTATGAATGACCAGGATGGAGTGAGTTCTGGTAATTATGAATTGCTTAGAATCGTTAAGTTAGTATTTACTTGTATATCTTATATAAACCTCCATTCCATCATGCTGATGCTTTCTTTTTTGTGATAATGTATATGATTCATCCTTTAATGGGTAATCATATTAAAAAGTATTGAAGATGGAAAGAAATACATCACTGTTTTCACTTGAAAGCTGAAATGCCTGGAGGGCTAACGTCACAGAGCTATACTTTCATGCCATTAGCAGGTTTAAAACGCTGTCTGATTACACACTCAGCAAGCGGCAGGTTTATGGCACACAGTTTTTCAAGTAAGTGTGCAAACAACTGGCAACGTGCCTCTTAAATGTGGCTGGGTTTGGATTTCAGAAATAGCATTTTCAGTAAGATCCTGACACTTGTATATTTTCTCAGTGTTGAAAGGATTATAATGCCAGGATTATATCGGTGTCGGCTTAGCTTTCTGTAAGAAACCCTTTTGCTTCCTGCAAGAGATCAGTCCCACTCAGCGTTGCAGCCAGCAGTCAGTTTGTCAGAGGAGGTGGAAAAAAGTTCTTTTGGGAATACGACATTATTAAACTTGTCCAATCCTCAGGACGTCACTAAGAAGACATTTGCTAAAGCATGTACTAAGAGCAGAAAGAAGAATAATGGTAAACCAAATTACTGAAAATGGCAAAGAGCTGTTGCTAAAGGGTAAGTACTTCATGTTGATATTAATACCTACAAAGGATTATAGTGTTCTGAAACTATCAGTGCATCTTAACCAAAGAATAAAATCATTGAGCTTTCTGAAATGCAGGATTATTAAATTGCTAAATCCTTTGAGTTGTGTAGTATCGCTCAACTCGATTGGTAAAGCTGTTCTCTGTTTTTGCAAAGTACACTAGAAGTCTGATAGTAACTTCACACATGTTTATCTAGGGATAAATCAAAGATCTGGGCTTAATTGTACACTTAATTCTGTACTCTGGTGCAGCCTCACTGTTGCATAGGTTGTTGGCTGGGAAAGCTTTGGCTGTTTCTTTCACGCAGAACGCAATCAAAGGCAGTCTTCAGAATTGTTTCAGAGGAACTAATATATTAGCAACAACACAGCTTTCTAATTCGCTTTTTAGTAAAACTGCTTTGTTTGTGTCACTTCTGCAGAGACCAAAGCTGTTGCTGCTGATGAATATGTACGTGGTATCTGCAGTGTAGTGTGTGATGAATTGTAAGAAGCACGCCTTTACTTCTCGGGTAGAATCCTGTAAACTCAAAACTTCCATGACAGTGTCAATTTAACAGTGAAGTAAATCATGTATGTGTCTTAAAATGGTGCATGGATATGTTATATTCTTAAAATACCCCTGAGTGTCAGTAGTTTGGCCCTAAGCTGCAGTTTCTGGTGGAAGCGTGTGTCTGGGTCTGGCATGGGTGAGTTCAGTGTCCTCGCTGTAACTGATAGTTGGAGCCTGTGTTTTAAGGACAGCGGGTTTCTTTGCTGCCTAAAAGCTGCCCAGGTAAAGACCTATCCTTTCATTCTGCTCTTTCTTCCTCTCATACAGCCTTATTATTATATGGGTTGTTTTCTTGTGCAACTTTGGCCTTTATTTTCGTAAAAGACTGGGTCAGCTTGGAATTTACAGCTCGCGCTTTCTGCCACCTTCAGTGAAAAAGACCTGATAGCCCAAGCTCTCAAGTGTACCAGCATGAACAGATTCCAGTTACTTATTTCATTACAGTGCCTAGTTTGTAGCGTGAATGAGTTTTATCTGACCAGATGCAATGCTATTTATTTCCTGTTTCTACTGTTTCTGATATAAATATCATACTCCTTATAAAAAAAAAAAACCACCTGAAACACACACCCCACATACACCCAACCTGTAAGACTTAATAAAGTGTTCAAAATATTTTGGGAAGTGTTTTTTCTGAGCTTGGAATGTCACTATCAGTCTTTTGTTACTGTAAACTAACAAAATTCTTGTTCTCAGTATTGAAAAACCTGAAAGCTACATCTTAAAAATGACTTTCTGTTTTGCATAAAATAGTGCTTTGGCTAATACTGACTGCTTTGTAGCTGAAGTGAAAATAAGTGTTACTTGTCAGATTTGTGGTGTCAGCTGCCTGGGCTGCTACCACAAACGAGTTTGTAATCAGAATTTTCGTTTTAGAAGTGCTTCGTGTTTCTTGCTAGCTGTGTGTTGTCCATGTAGAAACAAACACTTCTAATAGGCTGTCTTTTTTCTAATTATTATTCTTTTTAAATGAGAGCTCTGCTTTGGACTGTTACTGATGTTGATTTAGGATTTTTGGTAAGCAGTTGAAAGTGAATAATTTAAGAAAAGAAACAATATCTGATTTCTGTTTAGGAAATTTATAGATAATGATGTCTGCAAAAATACAATTGTAAATGGAATAATTTGTTATAGTCTCCTGAATGAACCAAGAAAGAGATTTCATAACAGTTCTGAGAGTGAATGAGAGTTTTGTTTAGCCCAGCCACATGTGAGGAACCACATAAATAAAGTATATAAGCAGCTTTAGAATGTATTTGAAATCAGATTGTCATCTACGTGTTTCTTAGGTTATCTTCTTAACATGACAGTCTCTTGATACACTTCAACAGTACTCCTGAATGCTTTGCTGCTGAAATGGGGAGATATTGGGATATGTTAAACTACTAGCAAACGTCAAGAAACTTGTTGAGGGTTTCCTGTTCTTTGGCAATACTGAGTTCTGCAAAATTTTACCTCTGGTGGACAATGAGAAGATCTGTGCTATCTGAACAGAGCATAGCTTTTTGCAGGGAACCAAGTTTTATCTCGCAATACAGATGTTTGGGAAAGTATCATTGTTAACATCTGGAAAGTGCTTTCTCCAGAATGGTGTTAAAACAGTTTCTTTTGTAGAAATAAACAAACTAAAACCAAAAGTGTAATAAAAATGGACATGGACAGCTTTTTATATTAAAACTTTAAGGCTGTGAACAAATGTTTTTAAAAGTAATGTTGTGACTAATAAAATCACCTGATTATGCAAGGAAGAAATATTCTACCTGAAAATAATTTTTGTTTGCCGTAATCCCACTGGGATTACTATTTTGGGTGTAGTCATTTGCTAGCTCTGATTTGTAACTCTGATTCATGCAAAAATTCTATGAAGAAATTTAGCCCCTCAGTTAAGATTTAGCTCTTGATATTTTGGCCAGGGAGGATTATGGCTCCTCAGGATGCCGTGGGCACGGGTGGGAGCCCTCCTGGGAGCTGTGCTCCACAGCCCTGGCTGAGAGCCTGGGCCTTCCTCGGGGGGTTTTTGGTCACAACAACCCCTGGCAATGCTACAGGCTGGGGACAGAGTGGAAGAAAGGACCTGGGGGTGTTGGTGGACAGCCAGCTGAACATGAGCCAGCAGTGTGCCCAGGTGGCCAAGAAGGCCAACAGCATCCAGGCCTGTGTCAGGAACAGCGTGGCCAGCAGGAGTAGGGCTTCTGTACTGGGCACTGGTGAGGCCTCACCTCGAGGGCTGTGTTCAGTTCTGGGCCCCTCACTACAGGAAGGACATTGAGGTGCTGGAGCATGTCTAGAGGAGAGCCATCAAGCTGGTGAGGGGTCTGGAGAATAAGTCCTAGGAGGAGAGGCTGAGGGAACCGGGCGTGTTTAGTTTGGAGAAGAGGAGGCTGAGGGGAGACCTCATTGCCCTGTACAGCTCCCTGAAAGGAGGGTGTAGAGAGGTGGGGGTTGGCCTCTTCTCCCAAGGGAATAATGACAGGAGCAGAGGAAATGGTGTGAAGTTGGGGCAGGGGAGGTTTAGATGAGATATTGGGAAGAATGACTTTCCTGAGAGGGTGGTCAGGCACTGGAACAGCCTGCCCAGGGAGGTGGTGGAGTCACCATCCCTGGAGGTATTTAAGAAACATGCAGATGTGGCACTTCAGGGCATGCTCTAGTGCCTGAGGTTGTTGGGTTGGGTTTTTGTGTGTATGTACGGTTGGACCCGATGATCTTAAAGGTCCCTTCCAACCATGACGATTCCGTGATTCCGAGTGGAGTTGATATGGGAACGTGGTCTCTGTGCCTCTGCCCACTTGCGTTTCATTCGCTCAGGTACGTGCCTGTGAAAGCAAGCTGGCATAAGTTTGTTATCAATATACAGCCCCATCTGGAATATTTTTTTTATTTGTTTGTTTTTAACAATGTTAATGTTTTAAGCCTTACTGCAGCTTAATTAGCACTACTGTATTTCCATCGCTGTGGGTGTCGGTGCTGGGTGGACGGGAGCTGGTGGGGCTGTGTCCCCCTGTGCCCTCAGCAGGCCTGAGCCTGTCGGGCGGGCAGAGCCTCCGGAGAACCCGGCCAGCATCTCTCTGAATTAGTCATGTCCAAATGGAAGGAGCTGCAGTGGTTTAAAGATGTACTAATTTCCACTTAGTTAACTGAACATGCCGAAGGAGGGGAGTGGTAGTTTTCTTTATGGGAGTTCAGAAACTGACAGTAGAGAAGGATAAAGCATCGACAGGTCGAGTCACGCAGCTGCTTCTGCCGCCTCTGCACAGGGATGACTGCTCCTTTAGTAGTCTGGCTGAGCAGACTTTATCTCTGTGAAGCTTCCTGGTCTTCCTTCACAATGGTCTCACTGTGCCTAATTGTTCAGCTTTCATTTATCCTCACTAATCTGTTTTTCTTATAGTTACTTTCATACATGTGTTTTGTCTGTAGTTCTCTCTAAATTCTGGTTTTCATCCCTGGGTTACTAAAGAGAACACGTTGGCTTGCAGAGAAGTCTTGCACTTGCATGCTCGAGCAGCCAAACCGTCTCCCTCTGGCCTAATCCCCTTCCAGAGGGAAAGCAGTAATGGGAACACAGTCATCTCTGCTCTTAATCTTTTTTTTTTTTTTTTTTTTTTTTTTTAAATAAAGACAACATAAACCTTTTGGAGAAGAACAAAATAAAACCAGTCAGAAGACTATCCAATACGGTTTTGCCACAATGTTTTTTCTTGGCAATGAGATAAAAGTTAGGGGAAAGTTTGGACAGCCATTTGTTGCTTTTATTCTGTCTCTTGGGATTGTGTGTTTGTGTGTACGGGAGCGTGCATACTTATGAGTCTTGGGTTTTGTTCCATGGACCATCTGTGATGTTTTATGGAACTCGGGTGATCTGTGCAATGATGAACCTTGTTCTACAAACCTGTGCCTGTACCTAAGCAAGGGAGCTCTAAAACCTCAGTGAACTGTGGTGGAGATGTTTAGATAAACTGTGTATTGTAGTGGTGGCTGCAAATAGAATGATTTGGTTTGGAAGAGGATTGGTAGCATTCAGAATTAAAATGCCTTAATTATCAAAAGATAACAAAGACTGAGAAGCAATGAAAGAAGTGAAGAGGAAACAATAAGCTGCTTGGAATATAGCTTGTCTGCCTCAGAAATTGAGATTAATTAGGGACTAAGGTAAATAAATTATTCTCTGTTGCAGAGTATTTAGCTCCCTCTTTAAGAAATGTTCCTTGCCAAACAATCTTGCATGAGGAAAACTAACACCACATAGCTACTGTCTGAGACCAAAGACTTGGTAACTAAGAATGTGGAAAACTGTGCGCATGTCACAAGATGGTGCTTACCCAGGAGACTTCATGCCTCAGAATGTAAACTGTCCTCGGGTGAAGCTGGGGCAAGAACTCCCTGGAGTAGCTTTCCGAGGTCACCTCCGCTCTCTTCCAAAACTGAAGGAGACAACAAGCTCTTCCCATGCAAGTAAGTCTCTTTGAAGCTGCTGGTATTGCCCATTGGCAGACGGAATATATTAGACAATTTTTTTTATTGCAGGACACGTTGTATCTGTGCTGCAGTCCATTCTGTGCTGTCTTATGAGTCTTGTTGAGGAAATGGTCATCTGCCATAGGTTTTACTTACAAAATTGGAAATAGAATATGGAAAGAGAGGCAATGTGGTGAATGCTGATGTTGTGATTTAGGATGTGTGAAAAGCAGAGATTGCACCAAACATGTAACTGGTGAAGGTGATTTTTGGCTATCCCTTAATTAGCTGTATTTCACTTAGCACTAGAATTGGTGCACGTCTCTGCAGCACCCAGTTCTGCATACTGGTGAAGTTAGAATAGGATGTCAATATAAACGTAGGCTCCTTTGCTTCCTGTAGAAAGTGCACAGTGTTTGAGAGGGAGTTTAGTGTTAGTTGGATCAGTAGAATCATGTAGTTTGGAAGTTCACTTTTATTTTTGCATTGTCCTCAGTAATTCATAGTCTAAATGGACTTTCAGGATAGTGGAGCTAGTGCTGTGAATGTGGTAAAAATCCAGCTCTATTTCTCTATCATCTGAACTTTTCCATAGAGAAAAAAAATGTGCCCTAGCAATTTCAGAAACAATACTCTATTTCCAGTCACTAGTTCTACTGATTTTTTCTATTGCAGTTTGTTTTGTTTGGGCTTCCTGTGTGCAGGAAGATGTCTAAAGGAAGCACGGCAAGGAGTCAAATCCAGAGGGGAATTCTAATGGGAAAGAATTGGGTGATGCTTGAAAATGCAAATGGGGAATGAGAGAGGAGCTGGAAGCTCTTTTTGAGCGTTTCTGAAGAAACCAATAGAGAAAAATTTACTTGGAGGTAAATTGAAGATGCATCTAAAAAATAATGCCAGTTAACTTCAGGATTTGTCTTAAAGGTGATATGAAGTAATCTTTCTTAACTAAGGGTAGGTTATACCAGTGATGGTAATGAGATGCTTGGCATTTTGAAAGAGCGGAATACTTGTCATCTTATATAACATCTGTGATTGAATGGATGAGTTACCTTGACAAGTGTGATTTTATAGATAAAAAGTGTGTGAGTTTCTGTAGGCATTGCAAGTAAAGGAAAGCCCATTATGCTTTTTTGAGATGGTGGTAAGCTGTGTCTGTACAGTAAGGTTCCTGATGGAAGAACAAGGAAAACCAAGACAGCAAAAAATTGATTTAAAAATCACCGAGTGATTTAAAAAAAATAATAAAACAACTTTGATTTTTTCCCAAACATTCAGTTACCAGAGCTGGTGTATAGGAAATGAGAAAACAAAGCCAAGTTACTCATGACCTTGTTGTGTTTGATAAGCGTAATAGTGAGAAGATACTGCACAGACCAAAGTCTTGAAAAATCAAGCTGACAGGATTTTTTTTGATGTTGTCATTATTGTTTGCACCTGTGTCCAGTTCACTGAGTAAAACCTATATGGCAGATAACTCAATTTCCTCAGCAAAAATCCCAGATGTACTTTAGCCCCCACAGGAGAGAACGGACTGCAGCACAGCTAACAGTATGTACCGCAACCAAATTGATCTTTTATGCTCCTCCTGACAATAGATGTAACAAATACAGTACGCAAGTAGGTTTTGCAGATTTTTTAGTAACCTTTGCTGAAGTTGCTTAACATTTTATTTTGATGCTGTGTTGCTAAGCTTACTGATATTTCTCTGGTTGTGCAAAAATATCTACAATGGAGAGCAGTGTGAACATATCTTACCTGTAGGTTGGGTCAGCAATTAAGCTGAGCCCACTTGTGCAAGGCAGCTGCTAATTAACATCTTGGTGTGAGCTGTCAGAGCTGTGGGAAAACCAATAGGCACACACACACAGCAGGCTGCTATCTACAAATATTTTTTGTCAGCTAAATGTTTACTTCCAGAAGCTTAACAAGACCTGTGTTGGGTGTGAATTATTGTTTTTCCGGCAGTTCTGTTCAAAGCACCTGTCAGCTATTTCCAGCAAATTGTACCTCTTTCCGTGTATCCCTTCCCCTCAGTGAGAATAATACTGAACTTTCTCAGAATTTTTTCACTCGTAGCAATTAGTTTTGTAACTGTGTGTGGTATCTGCTGATCCCTGTGTGCAGGGGAGGAATCTGCTGGTTGCCTGTTAGGTTAGTTTTGTAATTGTTGATTCAGATTTCAGAATGCAGAGATACTTTCACTTCAATTGCGTTAAAGTAATTTAGTGTAGCCTTGTTGAATTGATTACCTTAATTACCAAAAATACGCACCCAAAATGTAGCTGTTTAATCTCTTGTGTTTAATGTATTTATTGTACAATACTTCTTTAACTCGCAGTGTTTTCATTTGAGATAATAAGTTTTTTCTTTCATTTTCAATTTTTCTAGTGGTTATTTTTTTTTGTAAATTAAAAAAAATAAAATTCCTTGGATTGATCCCTTCTTAAGGAGATACTCTTGGAAATCTCTTTAGTTTGTATTGGCTGAAAGAGCAGGGAGTGAAGAGTTACAGGGGAAAAGAAAGGAGTTTTAGTTTGTTAAGCAGAGGGCAATGGGAGCCGCGGGGCCAAGAACTTTTGAATACTGGAATCAATTTCATGTTTTTTTATTTTTCCTCCAGAGCTCATTTTATACTATAGTGCCTTTACTTTTTTTTTTAAAGTTACTACTCATTACAAAAAGCTCTCCTGTTCACCCATGTTATTTTTTCTTTTTAGCATTGTAGTTGCAGATGTGAATGCTTTGCTTTTGCTGTACCTGATATTAGGTTTTAACTTAAAAGTGTAAGAGGAGTCTGAAGAGTACACAGTCTAAACGTTGAAAATACAATGAGAGTGAAGGCATCACAAAGTGAGCATGTTTGATGCCTGGGGTTAGTGGGCATAGTGAAAAACCAAAAAACAACCACAAAACACTGACAACAAAATAAAAAGGGGTGTTGGGGGAAGCTTTGTTTGCTATTTACCTGTATTGTAATAACAGAATCTGGTCTTTGAATTGGTCGGTCTCACTAACTCTACCTATCCTGTTTAAACGTTCTGCTTAGAAGCTGCTCTTAGCATTAGTAATGATTTCTAAGTGCACAAGAACTGTCTTTTCACCTGTTACTGTTCTGTATAAGAAATAGTTATAAAAGGGAAATTAGGCACAGATAGTATGGTAGCTGTGACCCTACTTGTAAATTTTACTTTGATGTGACTTTTTATTCTATTTTCATTAAAATAGAGTAGAAATAGAAGTAACTCTACCTTGAGAGTAGCACCTATTGATATTGATAACGTTGCATAAGTTTAAATACTAAAAAGAAACATTCAGTGGACCAAACAAGTTTATTCCCTATGGTTTTCGTCAAGGTTAAAAATTCTGTCTTTCTCCTCCTAACAAAACCTCCTGCTTTTTTCTTCTCTGCAGGTCATGGCAACCATAAAGAAAACAGTCCTTTCCTGAATGCTGCAGAAGCTGTCAAGGGAGGTGATTACTATGACAGAAATCTGGCCTTGTTTGAGGTAATTTCTAACTATTTTTCGTAATCCTAATGTGATTTGGAGTCTTCCAAGATGGGAGGGATTGAGCGCGTGGTATTAAGTGGATGTCAAAGCCTTGCAAAGGCCCAGGCAATGGGTTGGTACTCATCTCTCACTGCATGGCAGATCTAAGAGCCATTGCTTTATTTAGGAGTGTGTCTACAGAGCAGCAAAATATTATGGTACTAGGGGCGACCGGAATAATTTAAATTGTGAAGCTGGTGCACTGTGAGTGTGGAAAATGAGCACGGGCTGTTTACTGTGCAAAGAAGGACAATGTTATTCCCTTAAGGCCCTTTCCTTAATGGCCATGAAGATGCTCAGAGGGCTGGAGCACCTCTCCTGTGAAGACAGGCTGAGAGAGCTGGGGTTGTTCAGCCTGGAGAAGAGAAGGCTCTGGGGAGACCTTATAACAGTCTTCCAGTGTCTGAAGGAGGCTATAGGAGAGATGGGAAGGGACTCTATCAGGGGGTGGAGCCATAGGACGAGGGGTAACAGTTTTAAACTGAAAAGAGGGAAGATTTAGATTAGATATTAGGAAGAGATTCTTTCCTGTGAGGGTGGTGAGAGCCTGGCCCAGGTTGCCCAGAGAAGCTGTGGCTGCCCCATCCCTGGAGGGGTTCAAGGCCAGGTTGGAGGGGGCTTGGAGCAACCTGGTCTGGTGGGAGGTGTCCCTGCCCAGGGCAGGGGGTTGGAACTTGATCATCTTTAAGGTCCCTCCCAATTCTAACCATTCTGTGATTCTGTAAGAGAGTGCCTAAATTCAGGCACTCAGATTAGCCTGGGTATCCTGTATTACAACTGCACTATATCAGTAATTCCGTTTTCTCCCCGATATGCTTTTTTTTGGGGTGTAAGTCTGTTATCTAAGGGAGGCGGAGATACCCTGTGTGGTGAAAAATCTCAGATGTTACTCCCACTTGGGACTGGGAGGCAGTATGACTGTTTCCATGTGGAAGTAAGGAGGACAAGACTCTCATGCAGGAGGCCAGTTGGAGCCACACCAAGTCCAGCAGAACCCTCCTCCACGTCCTCACCTCGCTGGCACTCCTTTAAACTGCAACACACTGTGCTAAGAGCAAGTTTCTAAAAAATGATTTCAGAAGCTCAGGTGCTGGGGAGCGGTGCAGGGAGTCTTTGTGTGGCTCTGCAGCTGCCTTCCAGCTGGGCTTCTGAGTTCCAGCTTCACAGCAATACTGGCAACCTGTACCCAGTATTTCCCAGTCTGGGAGCTCGGTGTGGGGCAGCCTGAGCTGGCTCTACCCCCCGCCAGGTTGGCGCCCGCAGAGTTCAGCTGCGTGGCACGGAGCCTGGGCCAGTACAGCTAACCTGCTGCTAGAAAGGAACCCACCGTGGAAATGCTGCAGCCACGTGTGCAGGCACTTGTGCTTGAGCTAAGGCTTTGAAGCACGCTTCCAGCTGTGGGGTCTCCTCCCTCCAAGTCATGGTAGATCTGTGATCAGCATCAATTCGCAGATCATGAAGAGCTGGCTACCTGTGGCATGGCTGCTGCTAGTCACACACCTGTGCCTTTTCCGTAAGCAATAACACAGCAGGGCTGCAGGCTCCTTCTGTACTGAGGAGGAGCAGATAGCACCCTCAAGGCCGTGAACGTAATGTGGTGAATCGTAATCAGGTTTTGAAAGATATGAACTGCAGATGAGATCAGAGGAAGGAGTAAGAAAAGGGACACTTGGGGTCAGTTTCTGCCATTGGATACAAAGCACATAATGCTGCAGATCCTCCCAGAAACCCTTTGTGATGATACATGGATATACGATAGACCTCCAGACAGTGAAATTTTTCTAAATTGTTTTTCTGTTTCCTGTGTGGAAAGTATTTTCTCTTAACCATACATTCCTTACTGCGCAATTACACTTGTAAGAAATTTTTATTTCAAAGAGAAAGGGACAGGGAATGGTTTTTTTCACTTTTTTTTCTTTTCTTTTTTCACCGTGAACTTACTTTCAGAAACAGAAGTTACATGGGATGAATGGAAAGGTGTGAGGCCTCCATGCACGTGGCTTTTTTTATCTAGATCCACATAAATTACATCATATTGTTTGAGAAATGTCATAAAATTATCAGAGTGCATGTTTGCCCACAATGACCAGAGTTTATATCACTAGATATCTGAATTATTTGGCAACTTGACCTTTTTAAAATTATATCTGTTGATGTAAGCTGACGTTAGAGATAGATGTAAGGTGTACACGTCCGTTTTCTTACAGTCCCAAGGCTCAGACGACTTCTTTATTGCTGTAATTTATGCTTTTTAGCACCTAAGGAGGAGGGTCTAGACCTGTTGGCATAGCCTTTTCCTGTCAGATTTGCCTTTCTTTCAGAAAATTAAATCCTCTCATCAGTGGTTCAGGGACAATGAAATATTCTGTCATGCCCTGGATGATATTCCTGGTGTGTTCCCTGGCAGGCTCAGGGGTGCTGAGGAAGGCATGACCCCAGCTGCTCTTCATAAATGCTGTGAATTGCAGTTCACTAGTTGTCATCTTCTGCAGGAGGAACTTGATATACGACCAAAAGTGTCATCTCTGCTTGGCAAGTTGGTCAACTACACAAATCTTACACAAGGCGTTAAGGAACATGAAGAAGCTGAAAGCACTGATGGCTCAAAGAAGAAAGTATCAAAAGTAAGTAAAGATTTTCTCTATGGCCAGCTGATGGATGGGGTGATTCCCTCGGATTTTTGTGGAGCTGGACCCATTTCTGCTTTATCCTAACATTCGTCAGGAGCCATGATGGTGCTACAAAGAAATAACATAGAACTCTGTAGGTAACCAGATGTTACTGGAGAACTGGGGCAGATGGAGTGGTTGATTAGCGTGCACTGCAGTGCAGTTCCATACACTTGCTATGGATTTGGATAGGAAGGATGGGCTTTTAGTGGTGGGTCAAATAAACAACAAGACAAAAACTAGCTTTCTGCTAGTGCTGTTTTAGCTGCCCGGCAGTATCTGACACACCTCTGCAAGCCTGGTATGACACAAAGAGCAACACCCTTCTGGAGTGGTGAGCAGAGGTCAGATCAGACACCCTGGGGCAGCTCAGGTGTCATTCTGGTGTTAGGCACTTAGGCAACTGAATTCTGCTCCAAAGTGTCTGCATTGAGATGGTTAGCCCATTTGGGCTGGCTTTGTATTAAGGTGGAAGGCGGGGTTTTATTGTTGGTAGTTAGATTTCTATCAGGAGGGCTGTGTTCTCACTGCTGCTAGTGCTCTGGCAGTCTGGGGAGCTGAACCCTCAGGTGGTAGGGTTGCATTTTATGGCACTTGCAGGCCTGTCAGTTTGCTTGCAAATTTTGTCAAAGGAAAGCTCTCCAAAAAACTAAGATAGCACTTGAGTTGTAGAGATTTTGTAGTACAGCCCTGCCAAAGACTGAGCCATTTCAGAAAGAGATGGCAGTTGATAATGTTGAAAAACAGCACATTGTTCTCCAAGAGAATGCATGTTACCCCATGCTGAAAGCCGGATTCCAGCTCCCGTACGCTCCGGTTCCTTACTCTGCGTGGTTTTACACCGGGGGTAACAATGTTTTTCAGTCAACATGAAGCTTAAAATTCAATTTTATCTGAGACCGTGTGCACTGAAGTGCTGTAACATTGTGGTTAATGCGACATCATGACAAAACTGAGTGAAGGTTGTCTGGGTGTAGTAACTGAGTTCTGGTACCGTAAGCTTACATTGAAACGGTAATTTAAACATTTCCAATTTTAATGTAAGTCAATTTTAACTGCGAATTTCTTTCGTGTGGTACTTGGTGTTACACTAGTTGCTGAGTCTGTCCAAAGGTTTTACCTGTGTGTTACTAATAGGAAACGTCAGCTGCATCTGTTTGAGCGTGCTTTGGGTGGGAATGTCAGGCAGGAGCTGTTAATGCGGTGTTATTGCATAAGCTAAAATCATTTTCAGCCTCTTCCTATCAAAAGCAGGTTGGTTGTTACCCTAACAAAGAGAGAATGGAGGGGGATACAAGAGGTACAGTCCTTACTATTTTGAGAAAGTTCTGATCACTTTTGCTGCTTATTTCATTATTAATTGACTGACCAGAATGTCAGGGTAAAGTGCAGTCTCACCTGAAAGCTGGTCACTTACTTCCCTGTTGGAAAAAGAATTCCTTGAAGGGTCTGTAGTGTGAAGTTGGTTAAAGCTAAAGCAGCGTAGCTTCAAAAGGTAAAAAAGGGGCAAATAACAGGAAATTGAGTTGTTTTTTTAAATCCCTGGTAGATTAACATGTAAGGTTTGGTGTTAATATTTCTACATCTAGGTATGATTTATGTGTGCATTTTCAAACTTTTTATTGACATAAAAAAAAAGGACTGTTTTTCTTGTTAAAGCCACAATTGTAATGGTAAAATAGAGTTTGGGCTTAATACCTGGGTTGTCCTGAATTCTGCTTTCCTGTGTCCCAGAAATACGTGTTTGCAGACTTCTCAAAAGTTTTTTTGCAGAATGGGTTGGGTATCCATTCCAAAAGTGACAATATCATCCTGTGTTAATAACTTAATATTTTTTGTGTAAACACTTCAGTTTTCTTAAGTGAATTTTTGCCTAGTATGTCTGCCTCTGGGATAAATTACATCAGCTGTAATATCATAACTGTAGTTTGAATTTCTTCTCCCTCTCTTGCCATAAGAAATATGAAATTTTAAACGACTTGTAGAACGTTGAATAGTAACTTGGCCAATAAATATAACTGTTAAAACCAGGAAATTCAAAAGCTGTAACTGTACAATGCTATGGACTGAAGGTATCCAGAAATTGTGCAAACGGGATTCTTCTACACATTTGTTTTTAATCATCTTTGAGGTATAAGTCAGTGCACTGCTGTTACCTCACCCTTCCCAGTGGAGCATTAGTACAGCAGCAGGACCCTCCACCCCGGCGTGACAGCAGGGTCTGGTTTGAAGCACCAGCGTTAACTGACTGGTTGCTGGATGCTCTACTGGGTGTGCTCAGTCCCCAGCCAGCGTGACAAAAGGTGAGCTGCCTGTCCTGATGGGCCACTTACTGGAATTGGCAACTTACAGGCAAGAATTGGAGCAGGGACAGTGAGCAGACATTGGGTCTGGTATCCAAAAACTCAATGAAAAGAGCAGTCCTTTCAGTAAGTGAATGTAGAATTCTCTATCTGAGCAGGTAAGACAGGTCTCTCAGTGAATACCTTGTTGTGACCTAGCACACCTCTGCCTGCCAAATCAGATCCATTCAAATAAAATGAGACAAAATAAAATAACAACAAAACTCAGACATAAAAAAAGAGGCAAGGCAATTGTGTGCGTGTGAAGGGGCCAAATCTCTGAGGGGCGGTATCAAATAAAATGATATTTGTCTTCCAAGGCTGAAGCTTAAAGGACTAGAGAATGATGTGCTTGAGCTTGTGGAGATCATCGTTGTCAGCACCTGCTTTCTGTAGTGACAAGACCAGAAGGGACCTGAACGTTTCCACAAACTCTGGAAAACACATTATATGACTACTCCCCTTCTAATCTCTTGAAATAATTGCTGCAGAGTTTGTGGAAGATGCAAACAAAGATCAGTACAATTTCAGTGCAAAACAGTTTAATATAAACATACTAACTCTGTTTCAGCATTCCTCATTGAATGTTTTTGGTAGTAGATTCTGTGTTAGACACACATCAGATAAAACTGACGTTACTCTGTATTTTCTAAATACAGTCTTGTATTAAAGCTCTTAATAGATGCAGTCCTATAAAAATATCTCCTTCTCATGATGGAAAAAAATTAAATTAACTGGTTTATGTATCTTTAATAAGGCAGTTAATTTCTGTGCTGCTCCGTGTCCTCATTCTACAGAGCAACCACAAGAGCTGTCATTGCTGATCAATGTCCCTGAGCCCTGCGGCCAAGTGCTTTGATAACCTGTCACACTGGCACAATGGAAATAGTGTCCTTCAGACTCAGATCAATATTTGTATCAATTATGTGTCTGCAGCTGATTAGAGTGAACCGAAACATGATCTGCATCACTGAAATTGAGACTGTTTTCGAGATTTTTCTGGCTGTTCTTGGTTGATCCAAAACAGCGTTCTTCAAGATGTCTTTGTGTTTTATTTCCTTCATGCAGCACAGGGAGTTTGCTTTTCCTTTCACTTGGTAGCTGTTGAGACTGAACATAATCCCCTGCTTATTTCAGACTGCTTTCTGTTTCGACTTCAGCACTGGTTTAGTATCACTTGCTGATTATAAGGTGCTATAAAAAAGGGTCCAGTCACTGCAGATGACTGGTGTTAAACATTGCTGCGAACAAGCTGGTTCAAGTAGTATTTTTTCAAGTACAGTCTTTCCTAGCAGTATTTTTTTATTCCACAGGGTAAGAAAATCCAGAGTAAAGCCTTACGCCCAAGGTACACTTAGTAATAGTGTGGTTGGGTTTTGTCTGCGGGCAGGCGCTTACGCGTTTCCTGGGCTGCTCTGCTCTGCAGTAATCTCACAACCATACAATTAATGGGCAATTTCTCTTCTGTGGCTGCAGTCAGCCTGTAACTGGAGCTGCCTAAGTGGCCACTGAAGAGGGAGGGAGAGAAGAGGATGAGCAGTAAATGCTGCTGGGGCCACTGAGGGCAGAAGGTAGGAAGGAGCTGAGCTGAAGTGAGTTCTTAGGCAAAGGAAGCAGGTGGGGGATGTGTAAAGGGCAGGCTGAAAACTCAACTGCTTTGATACGACTCAGAAAGCTGGCATATAGAATATATAAGAACTGTGCTCCACCTGCTTCTCCTGCATAGAAGCAGTAGGTTGGGATTCTGTCCTTTCCCCAGATGCCAGATTTGACAAACTCTTAGAAACTGCTTTACCTCTGAGACACCCCTGATAAATCTGATAAATTCACTTGACGCTGGCTGCTGGGTTCAGGGATGTTGTGAGGGGGGTGACTAATGGACAGAGAGATGATAAAATTATGTGGAATGTCTCTGTAAGAGAGACAAAGAGTGCATTGATGTGACAATAGCAGGGCAAAATCAGCCCAGAGCCTGGCAACATTATTTAGTCCTTTCTCAGTTAATGCTTCTGCAGTTGAAGACACAGTGTGAATCAGATGAAGGTATTTGAAATAAAACTATCTGAACCTCCCCTTCTTGAGGAAATGAGTACACTCTGAAGAATACCCTGGGAAGATCCTCCTCCACTATAGCATTGGGACAACTTGTTTAAAACCCCTTACCTTACCCTGGTCAGGATACTGCTGTACAAGTGTTATTTCTATTAATATCAGAAGACAATGATTCCTCTTGTCCTTGTATGTAATCTTGACAGGTTAGTTCTGTAGGATGGTAATTTTTGTACAAATGTCAGGTGATGTTTTAGGGATTTGTTTGGGGTTTTTTTTGTCCTGTGGCATTGGAGCAGCCAAGTAACAGCTCTCTGGCTCCCTGCTGGTAGGTCTTGTAGGGTAAGTCTATTGCAAACCTTCAGCATGCGGTTCTGTTGCCCAGTTTACTTCAAGAGGTTCACCCAGGTTCAAGTGTGTATGGAGGAAGTTTGGTAGATCTGATTTAGCTTTAGTCACACAAGGAATTCAAAGCTGACCTCAAAAAATTCATTCAGCAATTCCTGGCATTTCTAACAAAGAACTGTTCGGGTCACGTTCTTGGGCAGGGTTTTCTTTCATCTCTGGCAGGGCAGACTCCTAATGCAGATGAGGACATTTTGAATTGTAACGTGTAATTGCAAGTTGAAGCACTAAATTCTGAGGTTGATTATTTTGGCCTGGTGATAGTATAACCATGTGATTTTTCTAGGATTTTGCTTTGTGTAATAAAATACTACTCTTGACTCACCTTAGGTAACTATATTTTTCCATAGTGAAGACAGGCAAGAACAAAGTTTTTTACAGCAATTTCATTGCTTTAAGGGTAATATGCTTAAGTACAGTTGCTTTTGATTTATGCCTAATTAGTCTATAAGGGTGCATGTTACCTATTTATTTTTGCATTTAGTTAATGCTACATGGAGTCAAATTTGAACAAGTGTTGTCAACTCTCTTTAATATCCTTCTCATGTAGATGGTTGTTCATGTGTTTCTTCAAACACTGTCTGTCTGTAATATGTTTTGGAATTCAGGTTTATTTATAGAAAGAGGTATGAGAAGGGATGAGCCTTTTTGTTCCACTGTTTATTCCCCTTATGTTTCAGCATTCTGTGTAATTTTAAATGCAAAAGAAACCCTCAGGAAGCAGAAGCAATTGAATGCCTTGGCAGGAAATTTGGGGCTCTGAATTGCTGCTGGTACCTGGTGTGCCAGGGAACACGCTTGTATTCCTTGAAATAAAACCCTTATCAGTGGCCTTTTGATACTGTTCTGGATCTGACTGTCCTCTGACAATAACTGTTTGGGCAAATGCTACAAGATACTATGTTGAATATCAATCATATGCAGTTCCTGTGAATTCACATAACTAACTTGTAGTTCCTCAGTCACTGTCCAAAGTAATTCAGAGTCCAATGCTAACATTAAACATAAGAAAGAATCACTAGTTTTACATGGAATATAGAAAATGGGAGAAAATACATTATGCATGTCTCCAGATTTCTTTCGAATCTTTTCTAGTTGTAACACCACAAAAGTATGTTTTCCATGAAACTAATTTGTAAATTCTGGGGATTAGGGTACGCTCGATCTTTCTCGGGGTCTGCAGCACTCAACAGGTTTCATACTAGGAACTCTGTGGTTCTACAGTAAAACAAATACATGTATGTGCTGTTGTTAGCAATTGGTGTTAAACGCTGGGTATAATTGCTTGAAATATGAAGATGTGTTAAGGTCAGCATTTTGTTTAGACATTTGTCATTTCGGTGTTAGGAATTTGCTTTCTGTTTTGTGGAAGTATTTGTGTGTGTCTACCTTACATTTCCCAGGTTTCTACCATTTGAGAAAATGAAGTTGTAGAGTTTTTTGGTTATCTATGCTTTGAAGAATTCCAGTTAATGAATGTCATTGATTTTTTTTTTCAGTCACCCAGCATGGGCACCCTGATGGGGGTGTATTTACCCTGCATGCAGAATATCTTTGGGGTTATTCTCTTCCTTCGGCTGACTTGGATGGTAGGAATGGCTGGAGTGCTTCAGTCCTTCCTGATTGTGTTACTCTGCTGCTGTTGTGTAAGTATATTGTTAGGTTATTATTTAGATGGTTACTTATGTTTTTATTATTAGCTTAATGGTTGGACTCGGTGATCTTAAAGGTCCCTTTCAACCTAGACAATTCTATGTAGGTAAAATCATGCATGTGGCATAACCTCTGTGAAACTACTGAGAAACTTGGAGAGGCTGCGTTGTAGATGCACGTGTAAAGAAAAGCCAGATTTATGCTAGGCACTGCTACTTTTGTAGCCATGCGAGTTCTTTTTTTCCCTTTTTTTCTTTTTTTTTTTTTGCTAGTATTTATAATCTACTTTTGTAGCCATGCGAGTTCTTTTTTTCCCTTTTTTTCTTTTTTTTTTGCTAGTATTTATAAGCTGGCAAATGTATCTAGTGTAGTCTTAAAAATGGTGTTTGCTCAGCAAAGAGCTGTTTCCTTTGGCTGTCCCAGGTCATGGGTGCCTGCTTTGCCTTGTTGGAATTCCAGCTCTGCAGACAGAGGGACACTTGCCTTTTATCTTTTGTCTGCTTTGTCTGCAAACACCGATTATTTCCCCTGATAAAGCAGTGGTCATCTCTCAAGCAGAAGTCTCAACAGCTTGATGATTAAGTTCCTGGTACCCTTGTTTTCTTTCAGATAATGACAAGTCAAGGCAGAATAAATAGAAATATTGTGTCCTATATGCAGTGGCAGCTTTGCTCTATCAAGCAAGAAGTTAAGTTTTAAAAAATGTTGTTGACAAAATGGCTTCCTGTCCTTCTTTTCCCCAGACTATGTTGACAACCATATCAATGAGTGCTATTGCCACAAATGGTGTTGTTCCAGGTAAGTGTAGTTACCAAACTTCTCATTTGTAGTTTGTTTTTTTTTTTAAATTGCTATGACCTGTTAATGGGGTTTTAATCTAGACAAATTTGCTTAAGCCAGGATATAAAACCTGAATTCATATCTAGTCTTTCTTCTTAGTATCAATTAGGCTAGAGATTAATTTATTTGGTTTTTAGTTACCCCTGTGATAACAAAAATATTCTTCAATTGAACACCCAAAAAAGCAGATGCATACTGTATAATTTTGTTGTATTCTTGAGAATGTTTTACAATTTGTAACAATAAATAAATGATAATTTTACTCCCATTTTCTTGTTTTGTAGCTGGTGGCTCCTATTTCATGATATCCAGGTCATTAGGCCCAGAGTTTGGTGGAGCTGTAGGGCTGTGCTTTTATTTGGGAACAACATTTGCAGCAGCAATGTATATCCTTGGTGCCATTGAGATTTTATTGGTGAGTAGCACTGGAGTAGTTCTGCTTTGAAGACAATAGCATATAGAAAGTACCGCAGTGTTCTTGTCCCATATTCATATACATATTTGTAGGTAGAGACCAGAAGGTCTTTGGTTTCTCGGTGTCCAATTCTGTACTGCTAGTGCATCCCTTTGGAAGTTGCACGCTCCGTAGGTATCCAGAATGGAAGCTCTTCTGAAAACATAAATGAAAATATGCCTTATGCTCAAAGATACATGCTCATAATGTATACAGTTGGCTCTGTTGCTCTACGGAAATAGAATGGACTGTTATCCATTGACTTTTCCTATAAACTGAATTTTCCTGGTGAAGAACATGTTGCAAATGGGAAAGTTCTAGTATAGGTACAAGATCGCTACAGTAATATAGGCAGGATGCTGTTCCTCAGTACTTTCAGCTCGCTTTCTTCTTGTTTCAGACATATATTGTGCCACAAGCAGCAATTTTTCATGCATCCGGTGCCCATGATGCATCCAGTGCTATGCTAAACAACATGAGGGTGTATGGAACCCTATTCCTCCTCCTGATGGCAGTGGTGGTCTTTGTAGGCGTGAAATATGTTAACAAATTTGCTTCCCTCTTCTTGGCCTGCGTAGTAGTATCCATACTGTCCATTTATGCTGGAGCTATCAAGTCCATCTTTGATCCACCTGAATTTCCGTGAGTACTGTTTCTGGATGGGGGTACAGCTTTGCCTACAGGTCTGGAAGATGGGCTTCAATGGAAGTTACTTAAAACTTGTGCCTAGCACACTGTCAAAACTGCCTGTTTTTGTGAATTACTTCAGATTTATTTAGCTGTATGTAGTGACAGTGATAGCCTTCTGCATGCAGAGCTCACGGAATAGAAGTTCCTTAGGCTAAAACGAATGCATTATTACATTCTTTTAGCTGTTTGGGTAGAATGAAGTCACGTGGGCATACAGATTGATGGAAGCTGACATTCCTCTGCTTCCTGCAAAGACAATCCAGTACCTTCGCCTACGGCTGTTGACTTAAATTTCAGGGAGAATTTTGCTGGGATATTTATGGCAGGCCAGCTCGGTAGGAAGCGGTTTGGCAAGTCCATTTTCCCCAGGCCAGTCAGACACGATGTGCTGCTTCCGTGGTTGGAAAATGTGGTGGTGTGATGCAGCTGCTGAGAAATAGGGCTTCTGTGAGGAATGTGGGAGGTGGGATGGTAGGGCCCGTTGGTCTGAAAGCAGATGAATCTGCTGTCGCGAGCAGCTCTGCTGTTAATACAACACCCGTTCCTCGGCGTGTTGGCAGGTCAGTATGTAAGGCGGTTTCTTAAACCCAGAGCTGGAGCAGCAGTGCTGGGGATGCATGTGTTTTACCAGAAATGCAAACGGTATTTCCTGGTACCGCTGACAAGAGACGAGTGGAATGGAAATAGAGGAGTTGAGTCTGCATAATTCACATCTTAAAATGTTGTGACCATAACTAAGTGCTTGCAACCCTCAAGTGCTGCCTTTAGATATTTAGGGCCCAATGATTATAATGCTTTACAACAGTGGCAGGTTTACAGCAATAAAAATAAAACAGTGCCTCTGCCTCCCCCTTATTATCTCTTGGATTGTTCCTGAATGTTCTCCCTATCTTTCTTCCTTCGGCTGTATTAATTTTTCTTTTGCTGAAGTAACCAGATATTGTATTCATTTTTAATTTTGGAGTGAAAGGCATCTCTGAAGTTAGAGTTACAAACAAACCCTACAAAAATAGCCCTGTCTCTTCCATTTTCATGGCTTTAGTGCTTGATGAGACCTGCGAAACAATTAAACTTACTAAAATGGAAGAAAGAAAGAATACAAGTGCAGGAGTATTTTAGCCATTACGCATAGTACCTTCTGACAAGAAGAATCTTTGCTTATTGGGATTGGAATGTTCGTGATTCTGAAGCTAAAATGTAGTACAAACTAGGATAATGCAATTCCAAATATCTTTAGATATTCTAAATACCTAGTAATTTGAATGCTGATGTTCTTCCGATCTCTTCCACTCCAGTAGTTCTGTTTAGGGAATATTTTTGTTTTCAGTTAATCTACCCCTTTCATTGTTTAAGGTAAATTTACCAAATCCAATAAATTTCACTGATGTGGCTTTTTATATCCCTCTCAAAATTGTTGGAAAAGTAGCCATATACTTCTGACCCTTAAAGGAAACATACACAGCCTTTATCCTGTTCCTACCAGCTTTCTGAAGCAGAGAAATGATGTAGCAGACTGGAGCCACTTGAAGTTTCCATGATATGGAAGAAGAACTATGGGGAAGGGTGGATTTCATTTTCCCGGTACCATATAACGACACTGGTTTCCTATGTTTCCCTTCCAGGATTTGCATGTTGGGTAACAGGACTTTGTCAAGAGAATATTTTGATGTTTGTGCCAAAACCGTAGTTAAGGATAACATTACTGTGGCCTCTAAGCTTTGGGAGATCTTCTGCCACACTACAAACTTAACCACCGAGAACTGTGATGAATATTTCCTAATGAACAATGTCTCGGAGATAGCAGGAATTCCAGGAGCTGCCAGCGGCATTTTAAAAGGTATGATAGAATATTTCATTTTGCCCTAAAGAGGAGGCAGGCTGAGCAGTTGAAATGGGTTGACCTGTTCCCTGCTGGCTAAGAAAGAGCAACTGAAAAAATGTAATTACTGTGAAGAAAATTATCTTCAATAAAGAAAACCAAGTCTTAGAATCTATAAAAAGAATAGAATGGCACTTTTCTCCTGATACAGTACTTGTCTGCTGTAAAATTGATTAAATTAGCTTTGTATGTCTCTTAATTTCATCAGAAAGTCAGCTCTAATTAAGAGCTATGCTAACATGAGTAAGTTGTTACATTTTTTTTTCAGAACTCTGTAGCTATGATTCTCCATTTTAGATGGGTTAAGATTATGTCCTGAAAGATAACAGCACTTGTATAAAAATAGTGTACCTCTGTCTTTGCCCACTCCTGAATGTAATATCATTGAGTAGTGCTCGTTATTGAAATGGACTCCAGAGAAGAGACTCTGTGCAGATGCCGAGTGTCTCAGGTTCCCATTTTCACAGAAACCAGTAGTCTGGTTTCAGTGAAATTTCAAATGCCAACCATGTAATTCTGTAATTCTTCTACTGTCTAAAAAACAAATCTGATTATATCTAGAAAGCTGGTCAATATTGCTGCTGCACATTCTCTGAACTATTATGTGTGGGTGTGGTGGTTCATTAAAAATATTCAATGTGTTTCTTGGGGTTAAAATAGGTATGAAGTAAAAAAAAAATTTTACATTAGTAATACTAAAGGATAAAAAGTCCTTAGGCTTTTGTGGGCTGTTCATAGATATTTATTGGTTTTGTTACAGATTCCCTTGAATGCATGCAATATAAATTTTCTTTCATGTAACTTGTACATATCTTAATTTGTGTTATCACTGAATTGCATTTGTAATCTTCAGTAGTAAACTACATATAATTGAGAACAGATTTGAACTGAAATGTGCTTTTCTTTTCCGTGGTCCGATAATAACACTGAAGACAATTTATGGAGCAATTACTTGGAGAAAGGAGAGATACTGGAGAAAGCACATCACCCGTCTGTGGACGTAGCAGGCCAGAAGAACAACCTTCATCTGTACGTGCTTTCAGACATAGCCACTTCATTCATGGTGCTGGTGGGCATCTTCTTCCCTTCAGTGACCGGTGAGATTCCTGGGACCAGAGGGGACCTTGGGCCCCTGAGCCGCCTTCTCTCCCTGATCTTACGTCCAAAATGTATTTTCAGGTATCATGGCTGGTTCCAACAGATCAGGAGACCTCAAAGATGCACAGAAATCCATTCCCATTGGAACAATTCTTGCTATTGTCACCACATCACTAGTCTGTATCCTTTTAAAATCAGTAGAGTCCTACCACGTTCTAAGTGGCACAGATGAATGAGTGTTACCTGATTTGTGAAGCTGCTTTCAGGTGACTAAATTATCAGTGTGGGTATGATTGGTCAGTGGAAGAAAAAAATCAGTCTTTGAGCTGAAAGCATCAGAGTTATTTCCTGTTGTTTTCCATTTCCTTTTTTGTGTTGGGTTTTTTGTTTTGTTCTTTTGTGTTTCGGTTGTTTTCTTTGCTGCACAGTGGTCTGTAGCTTTGTGGGCTGGTGGAATACAGAAATGTATTATTTTAGGATGCAGTGCACCATTAAGGTGAGGGAAGGCTTTAAACGGGAGAGATCATAAATTTCAGTTCCTTTACAAAAAACAAACAAAGCCCTAACCCTTTTCATTTGAGTGACATTAAGGATTATATCCTTTCTTGAACATTTTAGGGCAAGATAAACTGGAGTTAGAAACTAAACCAGATGTTCCCCATCTAGTGGGACAAGATGGGGGTTTCCCATTTAGTGGGAAAGAAGAAGATGGGGACACTTGGGACTTCCACCCAAGTGGTTTTTTGGGGGGGTAAAGGGAGAAGGTTCATGTGTAGAGTCAGCTTCTCACTGGCACGAAGGAATTTGTGCGTTTATTTTGAAGTCAGTGAAAGAAGATCATGGCACATCACCTTACAGGCCTGTATTTTTTTTCCTCCCCCTCGATTTTTAACACACTGATCTGATGTAATGCTGTCCCGTGATGGTCAGACACGTCCCGAGGTGGGGCCCGTGGCAGGGTTTCCCACACCGTGCTGAGGAATGAGTTCCACGTCACTGTCAGTGACTCCTCCTTCCCCACCTGTCTCCACTGAGGCTGGAGCACTTCGTTTGCAGAAGATGAGGCTGTTCCTCATACCAGATTTCTAGGCGCTGAGTGCGTTCAGAGGAAGGTGTTGGTCAACTGTTGGCTGAACATGAGCCAGCAGTGTGTGCCCAGGTGGCCAAGAAGGCCACCAGCATCCTGGCCTGTGTCAGGAACAGCGTGGGGAGTAGGGCCCGAGAGGTGATCATTCCCCTGTACTGGGCACTGGTGAGGCCTCACCTTGAGCACTGTGTCCAGTCTTGGGCCCCCTACCATAAAAAAGACATTGAGGTGCTGGAGCGGGTCCAGAGAAGGGCGACAAAGATGGTGAGGGGTCTGGAGAATAAGTCTTATGAGGAGAGGCTGAGGGAACTGGGCTTATTCAGCCTGGAGAAGAGGAGGCTGAGGGGAGACCTTATTGCTCTCTACAACTCCCTGAAAGGAGGGTGTAGAGAGGTGGGGGTCGGTCTCTTTTCTCAAGTCACAGGCGACAGGACGAGAGGAAATGGCCTCAAGTTGCGCCAGGGGAGGTTCAGGCTGGATATTAGGAAAAAATTTTTCACTGAAAGGGTTCTCAGGCATTGGAATGGGCTGCCCAGGGAGGTGGTTGAGGCACCATCCCTGGAGGTGTTCAAAAGACGGGTTGATGTAGTGCTGGGAGGTCTGGTTTAGTGATGATGCTCCTTGTTTGTTGTGCGGGTGTCTATTTTTGTTAAAGTTAGGTTGACGGTTGGACAAGATGGTCTTTAAGGTCCCTTCCAACCTAGAAGATTCTGTGATTCTGTGAACACTGTTTGTCCCAGCTGGAGTTGCCAGGTTTTGTATGTGGTTAAAGTCTTGGGGGCTTAGGACCCACAGGAGCTTTGCTTAGGAATGGCTGTGTTAGTCTCTTCTCTCCTGCTAGAGCAGAGACAAAGCCTCTTTCAGTTTCATCTAGCTGCTGGCGTCCCCAAACTGCAATTTATCAATACAGGAGATTTAAAAAAAAAAAAAAAAAAAAAAAGGCAAAAGGCAATTAATATGAGCAAGGACTTCAAAACTTCCTTGTAAGCACTTTCTGAATAAATTCCACTCAAGGGGCAGTTGGCCGAGATGGTGACTCTCCCAGAAATTCTGCTGGTTTGAACCTGTGTTTTGCCAAAACTTGCCAAGCTCGAAATTGGGATCCCAGCTCACTTGTCCCAAAGCCTTTCCCAGATATTACTTTGGGAAGTGACACTGTATCAGCAAGTCTGCATTTCCTATGAACACGTTACATTAGAACAGGTAAGAGCTGTGACCTCCAGCTCTGGTGTTGATGTGGAGTTCAGAGCCGATTTCCTGCTGGGTAACTCCATCCGGAGAGGGTAATACGCCACCCAGTGGACGGTTTACACCATAATTTTTAGGAGTGATCAATGTTTCCCCTTTTATTACTGTTTGTATGTTACAGTTGCATTTCAGGTGTAAAGGGTAGAGTGTAGGATTTAACCAGTTGTGGAAACGTAAATCACGAGATCAAATACTTTACTGGAATGCCAGATCCAAAAAACCTGGAAGTGTTTTGTACTCCCCAATGCAGAAGTAGGACAGTTTAATAACAAGCCCAGTATTCAAAGACTGTGATGAGAATGCCATTCACAAAATAAGAAAATTCAAGGTAGTGATTTGCTATACATTCAAAATGTCTTCAGACATAAGAGGAGGGAGAAAAGGAAGATATTCTAGTATCGGTTTCTGTTCTACTCTAACAGATTAAATTGATGTTTACATATAAAAATTTTTTGAAGTTATCTCCTTTATCATAACACTTAAAACTTTTTTTTTAATTGAAACTTAGAATAATAACTGTCTCTAATATTAAAGGTATATACGAGCAGTGAGACGTTAATTTACTCACCAGCTTTACTCCATGTAGTTACAAAGATGCTGCAGTGCAAACACCATAGGACAGAGGCACATATTGAACTTCCCTCAATACTTTCTATGGTTGTTTTTATCTGCTATGTTTAAATAAATCCTTTTTCCTTAGCACGCTCTGTACTCAGACTTCAGTTGTGTCTTATTATTTGGAGCCTGCATAGAAGGTGTAGTCCTGAGAGATAAGTAAGTTTTACTGCTTTAATGCTCTCCTTTCTTTTTATTTTTTGCAGGGAAGGTGTGTTCTTTCCTGGTGCCTTTTAAACCGCATTTGAATGTAAATTGTAAACCTGTAAACCATCTTTTGGGATTCTTGTATTTGATTTTGGTATTTTCTTGCATCACTCCTCAGATTCTTCATCCTATGTCTTAATTCCCCCCCTGCCCTGCCCTGCCCCAAACCTATTTTGTCTTGTGTTGACGTACCTTTTTCAGTTTCCGGAGGTACTTGTTCAAAGATCAGATCTCTAACAGTAAACTAGATTTTTACTTTTTCTTCCCTGGAGAAGCAAGATACAAACCAACAAAAATTCACGGGTGGTTTTTTTTGTTGTTTTATTTTTTTTCTGTTTTTCTGTTCCACATAAACCTTAATTTCTTTCCTTGTTTGTTATCCTCTTTTTGTTAATTACTGAGGCTGGCACAATTACACTAAGTTTGGTGTTTGGTTATCTCTGCCCTCTGATTATTAGTTATCAGACATTTCTGTCTGTAAACCAAATAACAGCATTCCCATTACTAGAGTCTACAAGTGCTTTCTGTGAAAAATTCCCTCGTGTTGGTGGACTTTTCCCAGTGGAAAAGCAATGAAGTGAATATTATTTTCCGGAAAAAAGACCCCAACCCAACAAACCAAACCAACCAACAAACAAAAAACCCCCCAAAGCCTTCTGTAGGGATGTCTGATGTGGATTCTGTTGGGTGTTTTAAACATTTAACTTCTTTTTTGTGTTAAGAACTACATCTTTCTAGGTGAAAGTAGAAAATAATGTTGTGCTAATAATCGAAAGCAAGTTTTCAAATTGTAGAAATCTAGCTGCAGACACTTCAGATTGTTCATTACTTCCAGTATTTCCCAATCAAGAAAATATATAGTATTTAACATTTCAATGACATCTTAAAATAGATCAAGAAAACTAAATGTGAGCGTCCAAACCCTCCTGTCAATGTGCCTGCTCCTCTCTGCAGGTTCGGCGACGCAGTGAACAAGAACCTCGTGGTGGGCACCCTGTCCTGGCCCTCGCCCTGGGTCATCGTCATAGGGTCCTTCTTCTCCACCTGTGGGGCAGGTCTGCAGAGCCTGACCGGAGCCCCCCGCCTGCTGCAGGCCATAGCCAAGGACAACATCATTCCCTTCCTATGGGTAAGGAGATGTTTAAAAAAAAAAGAAAGAAGAAAAAAAAAAAGTCATTCTGTACATAGTAACTAACCAGGCATTTGACTTTATGCTTTTGGAAATCAGATTTATTTTCCCTAGCTTGCCCAGCATTGAACTGAAGGTAAATATTTTTTATTTTAAGGCTTTGTTTACTTCTGTTAAAATCCAGGAATATTTTTAAAGGGGTTTGAATACACCTGTATGGTAATTTTATGAAATCTAACATCTCATTCAGTGGAAAATCACTATTGTTTTTTAAAAAGTTGGTTTTGGGTTTGGTTTTTTTTTTCATTATAACTTTATTAAATCCTTGGAAAGTATGCTTAATATTTCTATTTCTTCAGATTTTTGGTCACGGAAAAGCGAATGGTGAACCGACATGGGCTCTTCTGTTAACAGCATTAATTGCTGAGCTGGGGATCCTTATTGCTTCCCTTGACATGGTGGCTCCAATTCTGTCAATGTAAGAAACAGGGTTGTTGCTGTTTGGGGGGGTGGATGAGAAGATGGCAATATTCTTTTGAGTTTTGATAATTTGATTGTCTTTTGGAACTGTATCTTAAATCAGCAAAAGAAAATTACTGGAGCCTGAGTTCCCCTTTTATTATTTACATGAATTCTCTGACTTTGGGCTCTGCATATAAATCTTATTGTTTCTGCTCTGAAGCATTCCATGAATAAACATGTTTTTAGTATATTGTTTTGTTTGGGAAAATGTTATTTTAATCACAGAACAAAGATAATGATGATGTTGTGGATAGATCTAACTTGAGCCAATTAGAAAAAAAAAGTTCTATCTACTTTATACTGATAGCCCGAAAGGTTAATAAAAATCAGAGGGATGGGCACATGTGAACAGGGCAGCTGTATTTTGACTTGTCCTGGTTTGAGGTAGAACCAAACCAATTTTACTGTTCTGTTCTACCTCAAACCAGGACGTGACTGTACATCATTTGCATGATTATAATATGTCAGAATTGAAAAAGGTGTGTGCTAAGAGGTTTTGCTGGTTTTGTTTCTGCAGGTTTTTCCTGATGTGCTACCTCTTTGTTAATCTGGCGTGTGCAGTACAAACACTTCTTAGGACTCCAAACTGGCGGCCCCGATTTAAATACTATCATTGGTAAGCAAAGGCCATCACGCTTAGTGCCTCGTCTGACATGTACAGTGTGGGTTTTAGAAGAACCCTCTCGATGAGGGCTGTGGGCATCTTTTATTTCCTCTGGATGTCAGCTCTAGTCAAGGGTATGTTGATGTAACGTTCAGGACCAGATCCAGGTACAAGCGTTTGTACAACAACAGGACACTGAAACTGTTGAGGACTGGAGAGATTCATTGGAAGCTTTACTTTCACTGCCCTTTCAGAGAAGACAATCTAAAGAAAAAAGAACAAGAGAATAATTGTTTTTAAGCTTTTCTACCCCATTACTCACTGATATCTTTGCTTTTTGTTGCAGGGCCCTCTCCTTTTTAGGCATGAGCATTTGCCTTGCACTGATGTTCATTTCATCTTGGTACTACGCGTTGGTAGCTATGCTTATTGCGGGCATGATTTACAAATATATTGAATACCAAGGGTAAGTATTAACTGGATAGACAAGAGGAGGAAGGAGATGGGGTGTAGTGTTTGAATTATCTCTAGAAGGATCTGTTCAGAGTTGGGATTTAGGGCTTCCCTTACTAGTTCATGTTTTCTTCATTGTGTTACTGAGTCGGTGCTAAAAAGCCCATGAGGTGTTTTGTTGTTAAGCCTCTAAAGGTGTTTGATGAAAGTTGAGAGTCACAGGGAGCAGAAACCCTGGTTGGGGTCTGCCCTGCTGTCTGTCACACGTCATTGCTTCAGGCCAGAACAGGTGAAGGCAGCCACCTCATTCCAGTTGATCTGGTGCAAAGGGCTGTCTGGGACAGGCCTGGAAAAGTTGCATCTGCAGGTCAGGCTGCCTGGGAGTGTTAATGTCTGATGGAGTCAGGCTGTGTAACTTAATTTTAACAAATCAGGTATCGAAATACTTGATATTTGTTTATGCTCGGGAAGCACTCTCTGTAGTGGAGTGTTGATTACAAATTAAAAGCAGAATGGTGGTGGTGTGGTGTATGTGTAACTGAGTCATTTGCACATCTCTCATGTGATATATAGTAAGCATCACATATGTAGACAAATGATAAATATGCAGGCAATGTCTGCTATATATCACATTATTAAGCTCATTGTAGGGTGATAATTTCTCTATAGCATGACTGTAAGTGTGCAATTAAATGCTCATTAAACCGTATGTTGGGTAAATTGTGTGTTCTTCACAGTGCAGAGAAGGAATGGGGTGATGGCATCCGAGGTCTTTCACTCAGCGCAGCACGATATGCCTTACTCAGGCTGGAAGAGGGCCCTCCACACACAAAGAACTGGAGGTACTCCCTTTTGGCTCATGAAATGCACTGTCGTGATTTTCTGCTTGCACTTAAGGAATTAAACTGGACTCCAAACAAGACGCTCTTGGTCTATGAATGAATTTAAATGCCCAGAATATTAAAAAAAGAAAAGAAGTGTTGAGTCTGCAGTAAGGTGCCCTGTCGCTGCCCAAGCACTGCTCTGTCGACCTTGTACACACAGACCTTTGGTGTCCTTTGGATCTTTAATTGACCTCTGAATCAGTAAATTCAGAAGTGGAACGTGGGGAACCTTGGAGATCTCTGAGTACAGAGGCCTCAAGGCCCATGGTAATTTCCACTGGTGGCACAAAGAAGTCACTGCTACCATTCTAGGATTAAAAAAACAGAACAGTGGCCAACATTTCTGCCTCTGGCTTTGTGTGTTGAAGACACATTAAGTGGGAAAGAACTGTCCTCTCAGTTATGCATTGCACAACTCTTAGGCTCTGAACAAGAAGACTAGGAATCTACCAAAGAGGAGATCTTTAGAATTCTTTTTATAGTTGCTCAACCATAGAAAATAACTTGACTGATGTGTAGCAATCCCTTAAGGGGCAGAAAACAGGTGGAATCTCTGTTTAGATGAAAATATTTGTGTTTGGGACAAGTATCCAGATAGATCTGGAAGGGCAGCCTTACAGTACAAACAGAGTGCACACTCTAATAGTACTTAAAAAAGCCTTGAAAATCAGCCGTGTAAATAAAAGTTATTCAGGCCTTTTCAGGTAAGTACATGAACAAAAGAATGTAGCAGCAGAATTCCCTCAGTGCTTCAAATCTGCATTGAATCAAGGGAAATAAAGTATTAATTAAAACCCTCCTAATGTGTGAGTTACAAAAAGAGATAATATTCAAGCACAATTAAGATAATGCGAGAGGCAGTTTTTACAATTGTTTTTGTTAAAAGCATTAAGAAAATATACATTCCCTTTTTTATTTTCTCCAGACCTCAGTTGCTGGTGCTTCTGAAACTTGATGAAGATCTGCATGTAAAATACCCTAGATTGTTAACGTTTGCCTCCCAGCTGAAAGCTGGCAAAGGTTTGACTATCATAGGATCGGTGATCCAAGGGAATTTCTTAGAAACTTACGGAGAAGCCCAGGCTGCTGAACAGGTCAGTGTCTGAAACAAATTCCTGAAGTACGCAGGGGTGAGTGGGCAGGTAACTTAAAAGTTTCATAATCCTACATGGGGAAAAAAAGTGTATCCGTAAAGCTTCTGGGAAATACAGGGCTACAGGTCTCCAGTAAAGGGCTTGCAAACTTGTTTCAGCTGCCAGCTGTGGCTTTGGGAATATAAGATGACAGATGCTTGCAACTTGTGTAAACAGCCTTACTGCCTAACACTGCCTTCATTGATAGGCAGTGGTTGCTGTGGAAGTTCCTATGTGCTGAGTAACGGAGGGAAGAGGACTGTTCCGTTTTCTGAACATACCAAGAAAATTTTCAATAACTGTCAATTATTACAGACTTGGCAAACGTGCGGTGTCTCTTTCAGTGTGGTGATAAATTTATTACAAAAAGCATCGAAGGGTGGTCCTGAAAACTTGTTAATAAATCATTCCATCTTCCTCACTGTGTAAACGTGACTTTGTAGCCTTGTTTACATCTGTGTGGTCCCAGTACATCAGTGCTTTTCTTCCCTGGATGCTTTTTATACAGGGAAACTGTTACAAAAGGAAAATTAATTCATAGGCTTATGTGATGACCAAGTTTCTTTAGTTTTTAAACAAATAAAGGGTGTGGTATTCTTGGTAGGAGTGTTTGGTGCTTGTATTTGTAAATTGAATATAATGACACAGCATATTGCATAGAAATCTCAAACTGGAAATCTGAATGAAGTTAGTTAACCTCAGGTTTAAAAAGGTGAGCGTTTTAGGATTAGAAAATGGAAAGTGAGATAGTAATGCAGATAATCAGTAACTACTACTATGAATAAGAGATAAGCACAAACCAAATAACCCTTATCTTAATCTGTTAGCAATAATTATTACTATGTGTGTTCCCTTCCAAGTATCACATGCAGTTAGTGGGTATTTTCTCTCTATTTTATTAAGGAATGCATCAGAGCAGAACTTTGCTTTGAGAGGTGTTTTACCTGTGGATGTGCAAACCAGGAATTTATGCTGTAATGACGTGATAGAGAATTCCTTTTGATTGTGTGGTTTTTACTCGTCTGTCTTGCAGACTATTAAGAATATGATGGACATTGAGAAGGTGAAAGGATTTTGTCAGGTGGTTGTAGCCAATAAAGTTCGAGAAGGAATCGCCCACTTGATCCAGTCGTGTGGACTCGGTGGCATGAAACATAACACTGTGGTTTTGGGATGGCCATATGGCTGGAGACAAAGTGAAGATCCAAGGTCATGGAAGACATTTATAGGTGAGCTTTAAAGGTCCTGTGGGATCAAACACTGTGAACAGATGTTTATTACACATATGGTACACACAGGGGATTTTAACAGACTCCTTGTGTGATTGGTTTAGATTTTTAGTCTTTTTTTCTAGTATTAATTGTGAAGTAGATAGTTTCCATAAAACTGCTGTATGTTTGAATACCACTTCTTGTAGGCAAAAGACCTATGAAAGACGTTCAAAGATTAATCTAGCAGCTAAAATTCATCTGTCTAATGAATAGTTAAAAAAATACGGACTTGAGAGATACTGTTTTTATGGCAAACTGTAATTTGTTTCCTAGATAATCTCTGTCTTTTCACTGGTCCTAACCTACCCATCTCTCTTCACTACTGGAGCTCACCTTGCCGATATCCCTCTCCTTCCCCTATGGTCCAGACATTTAACACAGTCACATTAGAGCAGATGCTTTCTCCTCATAGTTACCTCTGAAGATGGCTGCTTTTAATTCAAACATGAAATAGGGCTTGTGTTGCTATAAGTCTGCTGTACCCAGCTTTGTCATTTGGTCTCCCCTGTCTATGCAAGCTTTGCTCTGCATGCTTTATGTAATCAATGACTTTTATGCTTTGCTGACACTTGCTTAGTGAGCAACTTTTTAAAATTATCTTTTTAAATGACAGATCACTCTTGCAGAATTGGAAGTAACCGTCTGTTCTTCCCCCTTTGGGCAGGTACTGTTCGCTGCACAACAGCAGCCCATCTGGCTCTGCTGGTTCCCAAAAATGTGTCTTTCTACCCCAGCAACCATGAGCGTTACAATGAAGGCAACATTGATGTGTGGTGGATTGTGCATGATGGAGGCATGTTGATGTTGCTTCCGTTTCTTCTCAAACAGCACAAAGTAAGGAGCTAGCCAAAGATTGTTTGTCACCCAATTACTTTGGTGTGTGTTAGTTTAAAGACACAAGGTCTGGTAGCAGAGCCCGTATTGGTAAACGAGAATGGGTGTATTGACAAGTTTCTGTTTCATACAACAAAAAAAAATACTCATTCAAATACTGAGAGTTTGTGTTCCCTCACCAGGTTTGGAGAAAATGCAAAATGAGAATTTTTACCGTAGCTCAGATGGATGATAACAGCATCCAGATGAAGAAGGACTTGGCTACTTTCCTCTATCAACTCCGAATAGAGGCAGAGGTAGAAGTGGTAGAAATGGTAAGGGATTTGAGCCCCTTTTTCACTTTATGATGCAAGTGGTGGTATTTGGTTATGACTTCATTACAAACACAATATTTTTTTCTTATTTCTCTAGCACAACAGTGATATCTCAGCATATACGTATGAGAGAACTCTTATGATGGAGCAGAGGTCTCAGATGCTGAGGCAAATGAGGCTGACAAAAACAGAGAGGGAAAGGGAGGTATGTCATTTGTGGTTGATTTGCTGTGGGCTCCTGAGGTGAATGACACAAGTATAGTGTTTTATATAGCTGCTGCTTAAATTTAACTCCTGTGTTCTAAAGATTTAAGGAAATACTTCAGTGTAGCTTTTTTGTTTCCCCAAACTGTGTGTAGTTGTTGAATAGCCTGGCTGTACTTGAAAAACCATGCTAGAAATTGTTTTGGGAGAAAACGATGGCAATATATATGCTGTAGAAATTATTTATGTGTTCTCCTTTGCAATGTAAATGATACTGGATCACTTGAGGATGCAAGTCTCAACCCTTTCTTGACCTTGCTTTTTACTTTATTTGGGTGTTTTTACTTTATTTGGGATGTCCGGAGTTTGTCTCAATTTATAGTATATCCTGTTTTCCTGCTGAAGACTTCATTCCAGTTTGGACTGTTAGGTCATGTAGCTATGAAAGGTGCAGATGATCTAATTTTTCTGCATGTGTTTGTCCAATGGTTTTTTGTCAGTTTTGAGTCAGACTGTATCATGATGTGAGCTAGACTGTCTTTTTTTTCTTGTGTAGATACAAGCCTCTGTTAGTCCAAATTCTGCACAGCTTACACCCACCAAAACTGTTTGAAGTCAGTTTGGTTTATAAGACTATTAGCTAGGGCAGATGCCTGGTCTCAGAATTTTCCTATATGCTAAATTGACGATACAAAATAAAGGATACAATGGAACAAAAAATCTTCTGTTGCTTAAAAAGAACCAAAGAATGTAAAATGAAGTCTCTGAGCTCACCTAGTCATTCATGTGCCCTCTAGGCTCAGCTGGTAAAGGACAGACATTCGGTAGCACGTCTGGAGAGCCTCTACTCAGATGAAGAAGATGAGGGGGACCCAGTTCCTGAGAACATCCAGATGACCTGGACAAAAGAGAAATGTGATGCTGAGAAGCGGAACCGAGGCAGTGCTGTGGGAAGCTTCAGAGATCTCATCAGCATTAAGCCGTGAGTCTTGTCAGAGTCAACAGCTTGTACCTCCTGAAACTCTAACTGTGCTGTGCTTTTATTATCTTTTGTCTCCTAAGGCTTGGTTTAGGCTCGCACAATAAACATTGAGACCCAACTACTGAAAAGACAGCAGTGAGCCTCTAATGAATTAAATGTGGCACACATCCCCCAGTATTTTATCCAGGACAGTCAAATTCTAAACTTGGAGCTGTTAAATCCTGTTATAACTTTCTTCCTGTCTCCCAATACCCCAGCAAAACATACAGTTAAAAACCAGACTGATAATTTCACTGATCTAGTCAGAATTTTAAAAAAAAAAGGGCTGATAATTTCACCATCTAATGTGTAGTGCAGATGTTTAACACAGCAAGGAAGAAGCTGTGGAGATGGTTTTGAATGACTGTGAATAGAGACCGTGTGTGATAGACCCCTCCAAGACAGACTTGCTGTTGAAGGAGCACGGACATGTAACAGCAGCCTTAGTCTGACCACGTATGTACTCCTTGAATAGCTGAAAGTAAAGTCTATTTGTGGCTTTGTATAAAAATGTGTGAATCTCCTGTGACCTCTCTGATGTACACCATCTTACCCAAAGCGTTCGCTCAGACAGCTTTGCATACATAGCAAAGGTCCAGGTTTTTCTTTCTAATCAATCCGTGAGAATTCCAGTCTAGTTTAGGATGAATTATACATAGTTGATATTCTGTAGAGATTCTGATGAATTTGGTGTTAACTACCTGTACTTTTTCCTCTTCCATGCTTTCAGAGAGTGGGAAAACTTGTAAGTTTGATGTTTAACTTAGAAGTACATTAAGATGGTTGAGAGGGAAGACTTAATTTTCTCAACTAAAAGCAGGAAAACTACATGTAATTATGGAGGAAAAGAAAAGGAGTTAGAGTTGAGGAGTCTTAGCAATGTTTTAAAGGGAGCAGGATTAACCACTTAAGCCAAATAATCATTATAAATAGCATGTAACAAACTATGAGAGTCATCCTGACAAGAACTAAGTCAGGATAGAAAACAATTACGGGTCTGAACCTATTTTCTTAAGCAGAGTATGACGCAAGAAGTGGGAAACATGACTCATTTAGGGAAGCTCTCATTCCACAACACTGCTATGATGTTATTTCTGGCAGTTTCTGGACACTAAACAAACCTTTTCTTATAGCCTACACCTTCAAATCACTGGGGAGATGCCAATTTTAAATGTCACTTCAGAGAATACCAAACCTTTATTTTTCAATTCCTTTTCCAAAACTACACACCGTTAATAACAGTGTATTGTTTCTGGTGCTGGTTTCTTCCTCACTTCCTGTAAACATGATCTGGCCTCTCTGTTGTCCCTGAGCTTTCAGAAGCTGAGGTGATGGAGACAGAGTTAAATATGCTCCAAGTTAAATAAGAACATGAAATAACAGAGAGGCGATCCGTGCATAATTTGTGCTGTCAGTATAATGAACATTATTCTTACCATTGCATCTCTATTTGCTGTCTGTATAAAAGATTTCTTTGCAAACGTACATATTCAGAAGAGCAGCAAGTTTACTAAAGACTTTCACTCATAATATGTAAAGCAGAATTAACAAAACTATGGATTCATGTTTGATTTGTTTCTACCAATACTTTTAAAAAAATATTAAAATGAAGAAAAAAAACCAAGTGGAAATCCTCAAAGCCACAAATATATTCTCCCTTTAAGTCTATTTCTGTACTGTTTTTCCTTTTACGTTACCAAAATAATGGCTGATTTCCTGTAGGAGGGAAACACTCCCTAGCTCAAAATACCCAAAGGATACTCTCCAGTTCTGTTCCTGCATGAATTGGTGTTATTTTGTGATGATATAGTCTGAATAATTAATCGTGTTACCTCTTTTAACCTGGATTCTTAAGGAGCAGAGGCTCATGAGATCATGCTGCATCTGCTCCCTTCTCTGCCACAACTTTGAGACTAAGGGGCTACTCAAATTTGAAAGCATGATTGAGATTTTTAAAGATACTTGGGTCATAATTGTTTCTTGTAAATAGCCAGGCAGAGAGTGATTACTGCCTGACTGAAGGAGAGGCTAAAATCCATATTATACACCAGAAAGCCCCACAAGCAGACACACATCCAGCCATCTGTAGGGTGTGTTCCAGCCCGTGAGTCTGTAGGCACCCAGGCTCTCTCTGGAGATGTCAACTGCTGCTCAGCACAACAAGACAAGGGCACTCTCAGAAGTGTGGGCTGAGCCCGGGTTCCAACGGGTCTCTGAGAGAGAGTTTTTGGGTACGGAGTGTGGGGAGGTGCGTGGTGTGTGAGGGCATCTGGAGAGGGCTGCCAGGAGGGGAGGCTCTGCAGTCACAAGTGCCCACGGTTGAAGAGCATGTTCCCTTTCTGCAAATGTGTTTTAATTTCTCATGCAAGACTGTAAATCATCGTAAAATACGCTTCTTGAAGAGAAATGTAACTTCATAAACTGGAGACTTGACTCCAGGGTTCTTAAAACCCATGGACCAGCAGGACCTGAAGAACTCTCTGAAATCTCTTTTGTATCTTCATCGTTAAGTTTGAAAAATTATACTGTGTGTTGACATTTAAACAGGGCATTTAGGAGATTTAAGATATGATTTAAGGGCCTTTTTAATCATTCAGTTTTCAGAGGCACGTTGCTAACAGTGAGTCTGAATGTGCTTCTTTTACAGGAACCAGTCTAATGTCCGAAGAATGCACACAGCGGTGAAGCTAAATGAAGTCATTGTAAATAGATCCCACGATGCCAGACTTGTTCTCCTCAACATGCCTGGTCCTCCAAAGAATACTGATGGTGATGAAAACTGTATCCTTCCAGGCAAGGCCTGGTCCACGTGGAAGGTCTTCCTTTAATCTGTGCTTCTGAATTCATTTTGTCACAAAAGCTGTCATACATGACAAAGGGTCCACCAAGTGGCGTGTGTGTAGTAATTGCTTGGAGTAAAAGTTGCCACTGGTTGCTCCGGAAGCCTTGTAGGTTTGAAATCAGTCTTGTCTAAATTCTTACTTGATTTAATTTATTTATTTGATTTAATTCTCAATAGTGGATGTAGCAGATGTTTAGGAAAGCATTCCCAGCAGCCAGGCCTGTGGCTGAACTCGAGTGAGCAGGAGGTCCTGAAGGAGAGGCCATATTTCAGGTGTAGCTCACACGTCAGAAGGTGGGAGCTTATCTCCAAGCACAGTTAAAATTCAACCCCCCCAGTATTTGGGCAGTTGGAGGGACACCTGCACCATGCCTCTAAGCTAGGGCTGAGGGCTGGGATCGGGTGAGCTGGCTGGCACTGCAGTTCTCTCTCCACAGCTTCTCTCCAGCCTTGGTTTGCACTGTAAATTAGCCAGCCTTTCACTGGCCCGTGCCAAAAAATGTATGTCGGAAATCACAGACCAAACGATTGTTTTCTCCTAAATCTAGGCAGTAGTACTTGTAACAGCTGTTTCGTAACAGTGTGCTGGCCAAAGAAAGGATAAAAACATTCCTTTTGGCATAAGGGGGTTTTCAACCACAGCTACTGCAGCCCAGGAGAGATTTAAACTTGAGGTTATAGGTGAGGATGGGTAGGTTCATTTTTGGAGCCGTCTGAAATTGGCTGTGTCAAACATGGGGGCAGCCACTGGCCTCGTCTCACAGAGGACGCTCCCCGCTACCAGAACCTCTTCAGGTAAACCTCATCATCACCCTGTGCTTTGGGTTTGGTACTTCTTCTTTCATCCTTGACTTGACTGAAACAGACATGGAGTTTCTTGAAGTCTTGACAGAGGGCCTGGAGAGAGTATTGCTCGTTAGAGGCGGCGGCCGAGAAGTCATCACGATTTACTCCTGAGTCAGTAGGAGCTCCTGAGGCTGGTCTGCGTTCACCTTCTTGGCCATAACGGACATTCCACTTTTAAACGGAGAAGAAAAAAGAAAAGGTTTTTTTTTTTGCCTAACTTTCTCCTCATCCAGTCCTATTCATTGTCTTTCCATTTGCAACATACATATCTTTTGGGATTGCAATACTGTTACCCCATCCAATTAGCAACATAAGTTAATTGTGAAGCTGCCACATTATTCAGTTTCTGCTTTGGTACTCCAGCATTTGTGCATGTAGTTTAACACTAAACCTATTTTTAGTCAGCACTGCTCTGTGCAGTATTTTTAGTAACTGTATGTAAAGTTAGGACATGAAAGCCAGTTACTGTAAAAAGATTTTAAAAGCTTTTTATATTAGGTTTGGGGAATAGAATTACATTATATAGCAGCTAGTTTCTGCTGAAGTTCAGCTATAAAGCATTTTCTAAGAGCACACTAAATTGTAAGAGATGGACTGGAAAAGCTTTGTTTTTCTGGGTTTATTTCCAGAACTAAACTTTCAGTATTGGATAAGAATTTATACTTTTAATACATTTATTGATAGAGATTTAAATAAATTATGTTGATATAGTTAAAATTATGTATGTAGCTTGCTACAAATTGTGTTGCTTCTGAGACTTGAGGTTCTGTGAGGCCAGATCCCTATTTATTTTTGTATTTATTTGTCAGAAATATTGGATACGCAGGTGCAGACTGTTCAGGGTAACAGAGATCTCACAATAAATTTTGAATCATCAGTGGATTGAAAGGACCAGTCCTGTGCAGTATTTCCATGCTTTAAATTTCTTGCAGACCATCCATCAAAGTACATTGAGCATGTTGGAGTCCCGTCTGTAGAGCCAGGTGCTATGCTGCACGCACAGCCATGGGATTGCACTTGCACAAGTACAGGGGACCTGCTGCTTCATTGTATGCTTTATGCCCTTAGAGGAAAAAGAAGAAAAGAAGACCTATATTAACCAATAAGTCTCTGGAGATTTTATCAAGCCCATTGAGTTGTACTTTATGTACATAACATTCGTATTTTTTCAATAAAATGTTGCATACACTTTCAACCTATTCTCTGCTCTGTGCACTGCGGTGAATGTGGGGGAGCTGGGGGTGTTCAGCCTGGAGAAAAGGAGGCTGAGGGGAGACCTTCTGGCTCTCTCCAACTCCCTGAAAGGAGGGTGTAGCCAGGGGGGGTCGGTCTCTTCTCCCAAGTCACAGGCGATGGGACAAGAGGAAACGGCCTCAAGTTGCACCAGGGGAGGTTCAGATTGGAGATTAGGAACAATTTTTACCCTGAAAGGGTTATGAAGCCTTGGAATGGGCTGCCCAGGGGAGGGGGTGAGACACCATCCCTGGAGGGATTCAAGAGATGGGTTGACATGGTGCTGGGGGACATGGGTTAGTGATGGTTTTTATCAGAGTCAGGTTGATGGTTGGACTGGATGATCTGAAAGGTCCCTTCCAACCCAGACAATTCGATGAATTGCCCAGGAAAGCCCTGTCTGTCCTTCCTGTGCAGGGCTGCTGTGGCCTGACCAGCACAGTGGTGCCTGTGGAGCTGCTGTGTGAGGGGAAAGTGACGGAGATGTTGATCCTCCCTGAAATGGCCCACGGACTGCACTGTGGAGGTGCCAGGTTAGTCTCTATGCAGCCTGGTGGTGTGAGGGAGTGAGTGAAGGCTGCTGTGTCTGGACTCACTGCCATGTGCCATGGCCAGGTAGAGCTCCATACCTGTACCCTACGAACCACACACAAGCTGCTGTGCCCTCGAGATTTCTGGGAAGCTGGAATCCCATAGAAGGGACACGTGTGAGCTGACCTCTGTGGGATGCAGGGCTGGGGGAAGTGTGGCTGGAGCTGCCTGGAGGAAAGAGACCTGGGGGTTCTAGTTGACAAACGGCTGAACATGAGCCGGCCGTGTGCCCAGGGGGGCAAGAAAGCCAATGGCATCCTGGCTTGTATTAGAAATAGTGTGACCAGCAGAAGTAGGGAGGTGATTGTGCCCCTGTACTCAGCACTGATGAGGCCACACCTCGAGTATTGTGTCCAGTTCTGGGCACCTCAATCCAAGAGAGATCTGGAGGTGCTGGAGC